AAGGCGTTGGCTTTTCATGTGCGGTGGCCCGCGTCCAAAGGTGTCCTAAGCTTGCGTCTCATCACGGCGGCGGGGCAGCGTGGGCGCACTTGGGTAAAGGGGAAGCGATGGTTACGTGTGTGGAGGAGGGTCAGAGTACGAATCAATAAGGCGTTGGCTTTTCATGTGCGGTGGCCCGCGTCCAAAGGTGTCCTAAGCTTGCGTCTCATCACGGCGGCGGGGCAGCGTGGGCGCATCTCTCTGTTTGTGTTCATGTGAGAATAGCTGTCGTAGCCGCTACCGGTCTGTGGAGAAATATGCATGTCTTCCTATGCTGCTCCTGTCTGTATCCCGTCCGTGGGTAGTGTGCGTTACGAGCGGCAGCCCGCAGCGCAAAGGAGCAATAGGGTGGAGAAGAAAACTAAACAGAAAAGAAAAAGTGAACAAATACCCCAAACGGAGGTGGAGAAACACGCACGCAACACACAGGTACCATCGCTTTTCGTTTGCTTCACCCCTCGCTTCAATCCTATCCCTGCTTCTCCCTAGTCAGATACCTTGCCTTACCAACACCACACGCCACACTTGCCGTAGCTGTGGCATGGAGTGCAAACGATACCAATATCTGCTGGCAGAGCGCGTCTATGTTCTCGGAGCTCCCAATTCGTCGGCGGGGGTGAGGGGAGACGTCGGGGTTGGCGGCGCATGCGTGCGCGTTTGTGTGTGACGATGGTCGAGCTAACGATGTCGAGGGTGACGCAGCAGGTAATCTACGGCTTCCCTGACGCTTCCACTTCCACTTCCACTTCCACTTCCACTGCTGCCGCTGAGGTAATTGACGTCGGTCTCATCACTCGTCATGGCTTTTGCTGTTGCTCGCTGCATTGAAAGAGTGTCACAACACATGCAGCGGTCGAGGCCCTCCCGCAGGAGTCTCTCTCGCTGCTTGAAGTCACGCTGCCATCGCCGTTGTTCCGTCCTTGCCGAAGTCTCACTGAGTGTATCGCAGCCACTCGCCCCGTCTTCCTCGAAAGTGGAGGACGCAGCTGACAACGGCGGTGATGCCCTTCGTATTTGCGGCTCCCTATGTGTTGCAAGAAGCTGCTCCAGCACCGCCGCGGCGTCGGAGGGCACCAGCTGACGGCTATGACCACGGCGGGACAGGCCACTTACGCCGCTCATCTGCCTGTAGGATTCCTTCGTGCTTCGGTGGCCAACGACGGCTCCGCCGCCGTCCGTTGCAAGACAGCCCGGCTGCATCTCCTGCCATGCCTCACCCAATTCCTTCGCCTCGGCGTTGCCGCCCCCCGCCGCCGACTCCCCCTCCTCATACTCTAACCACGCAAGCGGTTGTGCCAGCAGTCGTCGGAGTTCATTCAGCTCTTCCTTTACTGCCTGTCGTGCACCGGGAGGAAGGACGATAGCTGGCGCTGCACCGTTGGCTTTCACGCTGCGTTGGGAATTATTCGTGTCTCTTACTCGTGTTGCAAGCGTCTTTGCAATGGTGTCAGCACCCTGCAGCAGTCGCTGCACTTGACGCAAAAAGCCCTCACGCTGATGGGACCAGTGACAGAGAGCCATGGCGCACTCCTCCGTAAGTGTGTCTATATTTTTATCGAGGGTGCCCAACTCCCGCTGAAGCTCCTCAAGTTGCCTGCGCTTTCGTTGCCTCTCTTGCTGCATGTGGGTCAGCGTGGCGTGGAGCGTGTTGCAGTGTGCCGTCTTGGGCCGCACATACTCTTCCTGGATCCGCGTGACAAGCGTACTTGCATCTCGTTGCAGGGCCGCTGGAAGATACTTGATTGCCGCGGTTAACGGGACACGGTTGTGGCCAGTATGAGGACCCACCAGCAGCGACAAACCACTGCAAGTTGTGTGACAGCTGGTACAATAGTAGTCCTCCACCTCCCCAGAAAATATGGGGCAGGGAGAAAAGGATACTTCTGTCATCTGGAAGAGGCGAGCTTTCCTTCTCCGCCTTCTTGTGTATGTGTGTACGTGCTTGGGGTGGGTGGTGCTCCTCCCGCCGGCGTCGTATCTTCGAAACCGGCTTCCTCACCCCTCGTGCGCTCTTGCTTTCTCCACTCTTCCTGGCGCGGTTTGCCTACGCCCCGTATGTGCGTGCTTGTGTGTGTGCTCGCTGGGTCTCTGACAGCGCCCTACCCTTTTCTATGGTGTCTGCTCTATCTGTTTCTATGCCGGTGCGAGGTGCTTCAGGAGCAAGGCCATGTGTGACAGGGACGGCGGAGACGCATCGCCGCACATACACGCGTGCATAGGCAAGGCAGGCACGCCCACCTGCGATTCACAAGACGTAAACAGGTAAATTAATCCTCCACATCTCAAAACAAATACACACACACACAGAGGAATAAAAGACTCCATCAAAAAAGAAGAAAAACAAACACGGTGAAACTCACAATGGCGTCTTCCTGCGCTTTCGCCGTGGGACACCTTCCCCATCACCGCCTCTTCTGACGGCAGTTGTGAGGGCTTCCGGGGCCGCAGGGGAGTGCGGTCACGTTTGTCCCCGCAGCACCCAGCGAATGCAAGTGGCGCGGACGGTCATGTCCAAGTCGCTCGCCCCTTCACTTACAGTCTCCGTCGAGCTGTGCCATGCGTATGCACCACGCATTCGCGTCAATGCTGAGTCCAGAGTCTCATCTTCCTCGGGCTCCTCCTTCTCCTTCTCCTTCTCCTCCCCCTCGGCGGCTTTCCCCGTCCCCACCGAACGCTGTAGGATCTTGCTATTTTCCCGCTGCAGCAGTCGCAGGAAGCCGCCCTCGACGTCGTCCACGCGCTGCTCGCAAAAGTTAAACACCTTGCACGTTGGATTTGCCGCGAGTATCTCCGACAGTGTGTAGAGCAGCTGCGGCCACTCCCGCGTGTTGCCGTATAGGGCGTCGCAGAGCACCACCATGTCAATGCCGTCCAACGCTTGCTGCAACGCAAGAAACGACGGCGACGGCGCGGCGTACGTCAATGCGGCTTTTGCCCTCGACCCCTGTGGGGTTTCTTCGCGTTGCTGCCGCTTTTGCTTCCTTGGCCTAGGCGGGGGTCCCCAGCGCAGTGCGAGTGCCGCACAGGAGCCCTGGCCGTTGCTTCGTGCGCGTATTCGCGCTGCGTTCAGCTCAATGTTTTTCTGCATCAGCGGCACGAGTTCCTTCATGTCGGTGACGACCACGCGTGCCCCCGCCATCGCCAAGGCAATGCCGAGGCAACCGACACCGGCGCCGAGCTCAACCACGCGGTAGCCGGCGACCTTGTCGCGGAGCACGTGGTTGTGCAGGTACTGCAGGGCGACGGTGTTGCTGTTCCACAGCACCGCCCCAAGCTGATCCTCGGCGGTTTCCAGCTGCTGCCGCAACGACGCATCGCAGGCGCCTGCAGTCGTCGTCAATTCGTCCTCGCCATCATCGTCCATGGCCCAGTGCACAGTGGCGACGCTCCCGTACGGGTTTTCAACCTCTTTGACCACCCAACGGAGCATCTCCTGCAGAAGTAAGCCGTGACGATGGATGCAAATATGGAGTGGTAACGGAAAGAGAAAGAGAGAGAACCATGAAAGCCAAGAGAAGTGCACGCAATGCGGGAACAACAAGAACAGGACCACAACATCCAGAGAGGGAAGGAAAGGGAGGCGAATAAGCAAGCACTAAGGACGATTCTAATTATTACGTTTTCCTACTGAAAGGGTGAGAAGAAGACAAAATTATGTAGCTTCTTTCCTTGTGTTCTCCTTATGACCAAAATACATACTCATGCAAGAGCAAATATTGGGCAAACGAGAAAGCAAGCAAGAGAGAGAGAGAGAGACAGACAGACAGAGGACCCAATAAACTGCCTTACTGTCTATGCATGATAAACAAGGACAAACGCAGAAGCAAAGAAACACACACAAAGAAAAAGAAAAACGTCAATGCTGCGATGGATGCCGGGAAAGGAACAGACAGAGAGCACCATATATATATACCAGTGCATGCGTCTATTGTGTAAGCCGCATGGAGCGGTACCGTTCCTGCAGCGTTCGTTCCTTCTGCTCAATGTCGGTCAACCGACTTGTAGCTTCCTGCAGCCGCCGCTGGATCTCCCGACGCTCAGCCTCGCGGAGATTGCTGTAGAAGGCCAACTCGCGTTGTGCGTCCTCCAGCTTCGAGCCCCAGTAAACACGTGCACGGTACATGAAGTCGTCCCCACGCATGTGTTGCCCGTCGCCGGCAAAGCAAATACGCACGATGCGCTCAAGACGCCGGCGCGCTGCTGTATCCTTTGCTGCAGCGGCCTCCAGCTGCTCGCGTTGGTGGTGCACACGTTTCTCAAGCTGCACCGTCGCCTCTGTGGCGCCAACGTCTTTCCAAAACTCTGCACCGCTCTCCTGCTGCACCGCCGCAACACACGCCGCCAGCCTGGCGCCGACCTCTTCCTCTCCCGCATTCATTTCCGTTGCTGTCCCCGCGCCGTCAGCGTTACCGCCACAAACGCCGCCGTATCCATTGCCCAGCTTTAACTTCTTCGCCAGCGGCTCGTCTAGCACCCCCGCCGCGTCAAGAAGATCCCGCGCAGTGGCGGGCAGCTGCTGGACCACCAGGGCGCGCACGATGCAGCTCGTGCTTTCGTTGTCATCTCCCGCCTCCTCGACGTCCTCCCCAGCCTCCGTTCTGTTTTCATCTCTCGCATGCGTCGCCGCCTGCGACGTCCCCGTGGGAGACGAAATGTCGTTACGGACGCGCTTGTGGTTGAGAAACGCACGTTCAGCCTCCACGGACACGAGTCGCTTCGCTCTGCGGAGCCACATTTGCCCCTCCTCTGAGGAAAAAACCAGCGCCTTCGAGGGCGCGGGTGAGTGACTGCCGGAAGAAACGGCGTAGGAAACCTCTGGCCCCTCCTCGGCTTCCTCTTCCTCTTCTTCCGCCACCGCTTCTGCTTCAGCTGGAGCTGCCGCAATCACCTCTGCCTTCGCCGTGGCCACCCCGCCCCTTGACATACTGCTGCCAAGCAGAGGGGCAGGTAGGGCCCCGAATAGGTCATTCACAGGCACCGACACCTCCACTACAGACGATTGCTTGGGCGCTACAGTATCGGGAAGCGACGCGAAGAGGAAGTCAAGAGCTGCTGTGCCGAGAGACCCACCTGGCGCAGCGCTACTCTCGCTGGCAGTTGGCGGTATGCCCTTCTTGCCTTCTAATCGATGAGGCACAGAACTTCCAGACACACCGCTCGCAATTCGCAGCAAGTCCACATTGATGCCTTCAGACACGGCCGTCTCTTGTTGAAGACGCCCCTTGTCTGCCACGAGGTTCTTCACGAGTACACGCTGCTTCGCCTGAATCCCGGCCTCCTGTTTGTCTGCACCAAGGTCAATAGGACGGAACGCGCTCTCTTGGCCACGCTGGGCCCCGTCCTTTGCGACGTCGCCACTGTCGCTCTCAGCGTCGTCCTCGCGGGTTCCATCCTGCAGCCGCGTGCCGCTTGGCCCCGCACGATCCTCCAACATGGCGCGTTCCATCCGTTTCTTCGCCTTCGTCGTGAGTGTGCCAGACTCAATGGCTTCGCGATTGCTCTGCAGCTTGGCGAGGAAGCTTGTGTGTTGCAGCTGCTTTTTGCGCTCCTTGCGTAGTCCCTTCTTACCGTCCTGATTTGCCAAGCGGCTCACAGCAAATTCCACCATCTCCTTTTCAAAGACGTCCGAGTTGACGGCGTCAGAGCGTGCCTCTCTGGTTTCATGCCCCTGATGGTAGGCGCGGTGCCGCTTCCGTTCCGCCAAGAAGTCTTCCAGCGTCAGTGACTCATTCCGCCTGCTACTTCCACCCTCCCGCTGCTGCCGCTCATACTCGAGGGCGTCGAGGAGGGTGTGGTAGTGCTCCTCGCATAGCCATGCAGGACGGTTCATGCCACCGCGCCTGCGCAGCTCCCGGGCGATGAGGTTCCACTGATTTGGAAAAAGCGACTGCAGCTGCACGAGCTGCTCCTCCTCCTCCGCGGTCCACGCCTCGCGGATATGCAGGTGGGGGTCAAGATAACTCTCCCAGCGCTCGCGGCACTGCGCAGCGGTCTTGCGCACCAGCATAGACGCCACCCGCTCCCAATTCCGTAGCCCGTACACCGTCAGTGAGGCCCGCAGCACCTCATCCTCGCTGTTCGTCCACGCCCCGCCCTTAAACCGTATCCGTGACATTGCCCCTTTAGCCTTTTTATATTCCTTCCTTTATTCCCCACTAGCTCCCTTTTGCACTCCTTGCACGCGAGAAGGTGAGGCGGCGGTAAAACGCAACGGTGCACGCAAGCAAGAGAAGCAGGCAATACAGCAATACGGAAGGCAGACGAGAAAGGAAGAAGGAGATGAAAAAGAACGGCACCAGCAAGCAGCAAACATGCACTGCAGCACGGTTTAGAAACAACCAAGGCAATAAGAAAACAACAACAACAATAAACCAGCAAAACCACAACAGAAACAAGAAGAAAGGCGAATGTTCACCTCCATGCTGCTGAGCTGGATGTATAGGCTCAATGCGCGTGTGAACAGCGGCGTAGTGTGTGCCTGAAAGATATAATTGCATGCAAGATAATAACGACGTTACTGCTGTTCCGCAGACTACATTTTTTTTTTTTTTGCCGTCTTGTTTTTTTCTTATCCTTTCTTCCTCTTCATTTAACTTTTCAGATGGGTTGGACCTCGTTCTGGAGATTACGCCGCCGTGCAACCGTCTCCACGCAGGCCAAGAGTTCCTCCGGCACCTGGAGCGAGGGATCGCGAACAAGCAAAAGCATACGGCGTATATCCGCATCCGAGATTGCGCTGCTACTCGCCCCAGCAGGATGTTTTCGAAGGCGCTGCAGTTCCTTTTGCCATTCCCATATGATGCGCCCGTAGAAGTAGTAAATAACATCCTTCCGAGACACGCCTAACCGCAGGCAAAGATCGAAGAGCTCATAGTCAATGGGCGGAAGGGCGGGTATGTGCGAGGAAGTGTTAGGGTACTGCGCAAGTGCCCTGGCGCTGATAAGCTGGTTCTGCTCCCTTTCAGCGCTGCGAAGAACAGGGGACTCATGTTTGCCCTTCACAGACGGTACAAGATGTGACGGGAGGTCTTCATGCTCCTCAGCAAGCATCGGAGAGCGAAGCGGCATCGCCGAAGTTGCACCCACCTTGTTGGGCTGTGCGAGGTGAATAGGACGCTTTGCCACCACCGCAAGAGCACCAGGCGGAGGTGCGGAAACTTCACCCATCGGTGCGAAAATCGTATCCTCCTTTGCAGCTCGTCCAGCCTCCTGGTTTCGCTGCAAAGCCTCGTCACTGCTGTTTTGACGTCGAATATGATAGGAGATGTGCTCCTCCAGCGGCAGCACATAATTCGTGCAAAGACGAGCTTTTTCCCGCAGCTCTTCCTTCAACCCATCCGAGAGCTCCAACGTGAGGGCCACCTCCATCGCCTCCTCATGTGGCTCATACACGTCTCCTTCCCCCCCCGACCGCGCCGCCGCCGTGGCGCGTAGGCGACGACACTCTTGCAGGGCAGTATCTACACTGTCGCGGAGTAAATGCCGCAAAGTTTCCAGCACGTAGCGGGGAGGATTATTGTACCCACCGGCATCCCCATTATTTCGCCCCACTGCTGCCGGCTCCGCCATATGCTGTCGCCGCTGCCCCTTTGCCCCGCCCGCCCTGTCGCACCGCGGGAATGGGTCCAGGTGCGAGTAGGACTGCACGGCAAAGGTGACCGTCGGCGAGTCCAACTCGCCCTCTGGGAAGAAACGGGCAAGGTTGTGCACCGCCCGCTTCTCGTCCATGCTTCTCCTTCCACCACCCTCCGCGGCCGCCAGTTGACGTTGCCTCAGCTCTTGAAACGACGACGAGTTTGTCACTACGGGCTCCACTGGGGATATAAACGCCACGTCAACAGACTGCAGGATGGCGCCGCTCCAGAAACTAACGCCCTGCGCAGCCGACTCAGCGTCCAAGACGAAAAGCATCCCAGGCGAGACACTGGTTGCGGGAGAGGTGACATTACAAGCCATGACGTTACGCCGGGGAGACTGCACTGCGCCACTCCTGCCTGGTGATGCCGCAGTGACCACGCCAAAGGGGTCCTCTTCCTCTCCTTCCACCTCTGCTGCTGCTGCCGCCGCCATTTCCTGCGCGTGCTGACTATTCTCATCGCCCTTGCTAACATCCTGCTGACGCTCGGGCGTGCTTGACAGCCGCAATTCACTCATGGAGAGCCCACGCTGCACCTCCCAAGGGAGAACTGCGGTCCAAAGTCGCAGAGGAACACGTCGGGTGTACGTGTCTGCCACGGTGTGCCCCTGTGAAGACTGCGGGGCAAAACTCCGCAGTGGGGACGCCGTGGTTTTGCGTGATGGGTGCACTGTCACACACAACGCCGCGGGGTGCGTCGTCTTCTCCTGCAGCTGTAACTTCTCAGTGTAGTGGTGCCAGTCGCGAAGCACCTGCCGAAGCGCGTTCACGTCCCTCGTTACGGGAAGTGTGATGTGGCTCCTGGCAATATCAAACACGGACCTCATCGCCTCACAATGCAAAGTGAGTGAGGCACCTCGCTTCCCCTTTGAGTCACCACCCCCACCACCTCTCATCCCCGGCAAGGCCATACCAGAAACACCAGCCAAACAGAGACGACATAAGAAAAAAAAAAACGGCAAGAAGACAACATAGCACACCCCACAGAAGAAGCCAGGCATATATATATATATATATATATATACATACATACGCCTATTCAAATAGTTTAAACGTTCCCCCCTCCCATACGCCTCCTTCTTTCCTCCTTATCCTCCCAACGAGTCTTTTCTCGAGATTAAGTATGCTGACATCAACATTACAGCATCAAGTTTTGTGTTTCTCGCTATTCGGCAATGCCCCGAGTCCACTAAGTTTTTATCCTCTTCATTTTTTTGATCTACTACCCCCCCTCTCCCCGCAACGAATTTACATGCCTACCCATTCAACCTTTGCAGGGGGCATGGGTGCGACTACATGCAACATCGCCGTCTGCTTTCTACAACCAATTCAGACCACTCCAAACGCGGCGGTGCCGCACATCTTCCAGCACAGAGAATGAAATGGCTTTGTAGGAGGCACACACACACACACATGCATACACGCACGTAACAAAAAGAGTAAAATAAATGATATATATTTTTATATATTTATATAGTTATTCTCCACCTTTTTAAAAATAAAAGAATATACGGCAATTATTATCTACTTCTTACAACTTTGATATGTCATGGCTGCCGCTCTCCCGCAGTCCAGATCCCGTCATGCGCACGAATTGAGCCTTCTCGTGCATCTCCTTGATAGTGCAGGCACCACTGTACGACATGCCCGAGCGGAGACCCCCGACAAGCTGTCGCACAATGGGAGACAGCGGCCCCTTACAGGGCACACTACCCTCCACTCCCTCCGGCACCATCTCGGCAAAGGCATCCTCGTCCAGCGTGCTCTCCCGCTCTGCCTTGCTGAGGTTGGCACCAAACCCCGCCATGCCGCGGATGATTTTCACCTTTTTGCCATCCTTCACAAGCACGCGGCCCGGGGCCTCGTCGGTGCCGGCGAGAAGGTTTCCAACCATGACAGTGTCGGCCCCCGCCGCGATGGCTTTGCAAATGTCGCCCCCCGTTTTTATTCCCCCGTCGGCAATGCATGGGACACCGTGCTTGCGTGCCACACGCGTGCACGCCAACACAGCGCTGAGCTGCGGCACCCCGGAGCCGGCGACGAGGCGGGTGGTGCAAATACTGCCCGGTCCCACACCAATCTTCAAGCCATCGGCGCCAGCCTGGATGAGTTCCTCCGCCGCCTCGCCCGTCGCGATGTTGCCCGCCACGATATCAACCTTGTTTGTGCGTGGGTCCGCCTTGAGCTGCTTGAGCATGTCAATACATATGCTGCTGTGGCCATGGGCGATGTCCACCACGAGCACGTCCGCGCCAGCCTCCACTAGCATCGCAGCTCGCGTCAGGTCGTCTTTCTTCACGCCCACGGCGGCGCCCACGAGCAGGCGACCGCGGACGTCGAGGGATGCGTACCTGTTCTGTGTGAGCTTCACCACATCGGCGAGGGTGACAAGGTACATGAGGGAGTTGTCCTTTCCAATAATCGGAAGATTAGACATGCGGTGCCTCCGCATCATCTCTCGCGCCTCGTCCAACGTAATTCCCGGGTCATGCGACACCACTAGCCGATCAATCGGGGTCATAAGCTTCGACACCGGCTCCCCCGCTTCAGCAATGACCAAATCCTGCCGTGTGATGATGCCAAGCAGCTTTCGCGTCGATAAGCCGTCCACAACCATGAGACAACCAACGCCGCCTTTCCGGCCCTTCCACTTCAGACCTTCAAGTGCCTCCTCACTCGTCTGGTGGGCCATAATCATGCGGGGATTCTCAATCAGAAAGGACTGTGCACGCTTCACCTTGGACAGCATGTCGCACTGCTCCTTAATGCTGCAAAAACGGTGCAAGATGCCAATGCCACCCTCACGGGCCATGGCAATCGCAGTCTGGTGCTCACACACCGTATCCATGTTACTTGCCACAATAGGTATCTGCAGCTTTATATTGCGCGAGAGACGAGTGCAAGTGCGGACAGTTTTGCGGGAACGTACCGGACTTTTTTGTGGAACGAGCAAGACGTCATCGTAGGTGAGCCCCACCGGAAAGGAGGGCAGACTGCTGAGAGACATTCTTGCTGAAAGAATTGACCACGTTTACACACACACACACACACACGCCCTGCTTGTACACACCACACGCTGCCTCGAAGCTTTCGCACCCGCCAAGTAAAAAAAAACAGGAAGGAGCACAACATATATATATATATAAGGGCATAACGAGAATAAGCACATCATGCGCGCCAGCGCCAACAAGGAAGATGCACACACCCACGCAACATCAACAACGAGCTTCACGGATGAAATAATTGCTGACTAAAACGCATCCCTCACACATATATATATATATATATATACTTACCCTACC